AAATTCTCATAACCCAAGATTTGTTAGATCATCTAGAAGAACCACCACTAGAGATCTGGATAAATTATTTGCTGAACGGCGTGCTATGATTAGGAACTGTGTGCATGCTTCTGCATCTGTTGCTTTGACTTCTGACATATGGTCTGGTAATGCTAAAGAGGATTACATATCTGTTGTTGCTCATTATGTGAATGCTGATTGGGAATTGCAAAAGAAGATTGTTGGTCTTAGGTTGATTCAAGTTAAGCATTCTGGTGAAAACATTTCTGCTTCCATTGCATCTGTTGTTGAGGAGTATGGCTTGGTTGATAAAATCTTTTCTATCACTTTAGATAATGCATCTTCTAATGCTAAGGCTATGGAAACTTTGACACCCATGTTTGCTGGTTATCTTGGTTGTGATCCTACACCTGATGATCCTGCACCTGGTTACAGTCTTGTGCATCAACGCTGTGCTTGTCACATTATTAATCTGATAGTCAAATCTGGACTAAAAAGAATCAAACCTTATATAGAGGATTTTAGAACTGCAATTAATTTCTTGAACTCCTCTAATCAAAGAATTGCTATGTTTAGAAACTACTGTGAAGCTAAAGGTATGAGACCTAGAAAATTTGGCTTAGACATGGATGTTAGATGGAATGCTACTTATCTCATGCTAAAACACTTGGTTCCTTACAGTGAAGTATTTTCTGTGTTCATAAATTCAAATTATGGTTCTGCACTGTTGTCTCCAGCCCATTGGCACGTGGCTAGGAAAATATTGGAGTTCCTGGAAGTATTTTATGACTCTACTGTTACATTGTCTGGTGTTTATTATCCTACCAGTCCTCTTGTCTTTTCATATGTTCGAGAGATTGCAACCCATTTGCATGCATGTGAAAGGGATGTTAATCTTAGACCCTTTGTGTACCCTATGCAAAGATAAATTTCTTAAGTATTGGAAGGACATTCCTCTCTTATACTCATTTGCATTCATTCTTGACCCTAGAGCTAAGCTCAGAGGTATGCAAAGGGTCCTCCATTTACTTACTGAATATACTGGTACTGATTACACTACTTACTATGCTGATTTGAAAACTGAGTTGCATAAAATGTTTGAGAAATATTTAAGAAAGTTTGGTGCAACCAGGTCACAAAGGGTTGTTGGTCCTACCCCACCCAATGGTAAGAGAAAACAGGCTTGGGGGTAATTTTTTGGAGGATCAGTCCGCTGGTCCTTCCAGATGTCTTACCTATTCTTCTTCTCACTCTCCGCTTCTCGAACTTTCAAGCTATTTGGACAAATGAACGATATAACGCTTATGAGGATGGTTTTGACATTCTTCCGTGGTGGAAGGACCACAAACTAACCTATCCCATCCTGGTTATTATGGCGGAGATATCATGTCGGTTCTGTTTCCACTTGTTCTTCGAGTCTTGTTTGACTTAGCGGGGAGGATCCTAGAAGAACGGCGCCGAGCTTGAAACCGAAACATGTTGAGATGCTGACCTTGTTGAAGGACCGGGAGCTAGGAGAGAGAGGAACAACATGAAGTCTGCGATACCAAGGAAATTGAAGATGCATTCGAGAATCATTCTGGATGAACCGTAAGGTGAAGATGATGCATCCGGTGGTGACAAAGGCATTGGTTGGTGGGGAGTGTTGGAGTACTTTTGTGTGAGTTGAGAGTGGATGTGTCCCTCACTCACTTACTTAGTTTTCATTTGAATATTTGAACAATGGTCTGTAATAACTATGTAAGATTAAGACATTTGAAGCTGGCTGCACTTTTTTTTTCTGCCTAGGATTTCTCACAAAGATGAGTTTTACCTAGGTAGGTTTTTAATGAGGCAGCATTACACAAAACAACTTTTTTTGATATTTAAATGGATTGAGATATTTATTTGGAGGTGTTTTTGATTTAACGGGCTGTGGGCTGGCACGGCCTGTTATTTTTGCCGTGCCTCACGGGCCAGCACGGCACGAAAGATGGCCCACAGGCCCGTGCCTGGGCCGAAGGCCAGGCCCGCAGGCCGATGAGGCACGGCCCGCAGGGCACGGCGTGCCTCCTTGGCCCGATAGCATTGTGCCGTGCCGGGCCGGACCGGCCCGATGCCCAGGTATGACCGAGAGAGATCTAGAACTGCCAATCATCTGTGGTCGCCTGGTCAGTCGAAACTGGCCGGGAACGAAACCGTAACAACGTGCACTTTATTATATTTTATATTTTGTACATACTTCTAGTATACAACAAATCAACAACAACAACAATAATAATAATATAGGAGTACATGCATGAAGGCATGAAGCCGTACGAAGCGAATGCGGTTTACGCCCGATGAGCGTATCCTAGCCCCTGGGTTTGACATTTGACTCGCCCGAGTAGTGACGATTCGAGTCGCGAGAGGGCCGGCCGCCGGGCCACGTACACGAGTTGGCCACAGGCAGCGCCCAGCACCAGGCCAGTTGCATATGCATGTTGGGGTGCGTTTGAGAAACTCGTCTACGATTTGGCTTTAACAAACGAATACGGAGTACACACGCTTCTGTGGCTATCAGACGATTGTCTATCTATGCCTGAACTTAAGCCAGCTGATCGAAGACAATTAATCGTTTTCTGCACTGGGTTTACCGTAAAGCTTATGCTCAGCTCATTAACATGACGAAACCGAGCACTGGATCGGATCTCACATTAGTATACACAAGTATATTCTCTCACACGGCTTAGCTACCCTACGTAAGAAGCAGGAATGTCTTCCACATGGATGTGAAAAAGTGAAAGGTTGGATGATTGGCTCAATTTATTGGTCTCCTTAGTTGTGCCCATCAATTTGAATGGGATAAGGATAGGTTTGTGTGGCGGTTGAGGAAGAATGGTGATTTTTTGACTCGATCTTTATATAGAGAGAGAGATCACGAAAAAGGAGACGTTTGATGGGAAAATATGGTTCTAGAAGGCAAAGTCCCATTGAAAATAAAGATTTTCCTCATGTATCTAAAAAAAGAGGTCATACTTAAAAAAAAACTTGTAAAAAAGGGGTGGAAAGGGAATGCTAGCTGTAGCTTTTGTGGTTTAAAGGAGAATGTGAAACATCTCTTTTTTTTTAGTGTCCTATGGCAAGATTCTTGTGGAATGCATTGTTCATCACTTTCAACATTCAACCACTCACATGTTTGGCTCGTGGCTTAGGAATTTTAGTCCAAGTTTGAGAAGCCAGATAATTGTGGGTTTGGCGGCAATGTGTTGAGTTTTGTGGTTGAACAGAAACGATACACTATTCGATAAGAAAAATTCTAACTCTTTACTGGTAATTTTTAAGGAAACTTATTGGATCAGCCAATGATCTTAGTTATCTAAAGAGGAAGAAAGAATAGTGTGAAGAATGGGCGCAGACGTTTGGAGGTTATGCTGATAGAGGTGTTTGGAGAGCAGGCTTGGAAGGAGTAGAGAAATTTGGAGATCTAAGTGTCTTCGTTTTTCTATGTTATGTCCTATGTTAACCCTATTGTGTGTGTGCTCTATATAGTAGAGAGTAGACTTGAGCATTTTGTGGGCAGGGTCGGACCGAAAACCCCAGGTTATTTCAGGTCGAAAAAGTCCCATCCATGATTGTTCCACTGGGCAAGCGGGCCTAGATCGCCCGCGCATTTTACAAAGCAAAATAGCTAAAAATAGTACTTTGGGTTGGTCTTGAACCAAAAAACATTTTCTGAGCTGCAGGATCTGTGCCCAGGCTCTATCTACTAAGGTTTGTGAGGAGGCCAAAACCCGTCGAGCTCAGGCCTCAGTTTGCTCAGGTCCAGTAGAGAGTGGTCTTTCGGATCTTTCTCATTACTAATCGGTTGTACCTATTCACCGGTGAACGTGGAAGGCCGGATAAATCATTTTTCAACCATTAAAAAGAAGAGCTCCCTGACGGCATCTGGAGCCTTTGGTTGTAATAATTGGAATCACTCGCAAAGCAGAAGGGTCAAGGGAGCCATCAGCCCTCGTGTGGGTCGTGACGACGCCAGGCTAGTCGTTTCTTGCACGTGGCAGGCGACTCTTGTGCCGCCGGTCCAGATCCCGCCGATCTAAAGCCAAAACCAGTGGGAGGCTTTCTGGCTTTGCCCTGCATACCGCGCGACGTTGTTTCGCGCTCGCTGCTGCTTTCTCTGCACCGGGTGGTCTTTAGTACGGCCGCTCAACCGCCAACGGGACGGCCGTTTCGGCGTAAAAAACGGGGATGAACAATCAGCCGTAACTGATGGATCGTGATCTTGATTACCACGTGTTAAGGCCGCAAGAGAAAATGCCGTGTTCCAGACTTCTGTACAGCTTCCGGTCGTTCAGCAACGTAGCACTGCAGCACGATGAACAAACGGTGCGACGCGACACATGTGACATGTGAGCCAGAGCCAGCAGCCAGGTCTTTCCAGTGCCCAGTTGCATCGCAAAGCGTCAGCGCCGCGCGGCTGCTGCTGGAATGGAGTCAAACACCCAAAACCGCGACGTGCGCCCCAAACCAAAACCACCGCCACCGCACACGCCTTTTCCTGTTTATTACGAGCGCCGCGACTCCAAGGAACCCCACTAGGCGGCTACCTCGCCCACCCTTCGTTACACCGACGCGTGGGGCCATCACGCACGGCATCCCTTGTCGGGGCCCACATCCCACGCGAGTGCACCCCGGCCGGGGCTCCCGGCCTTCCCCACCGCGGCCGCGCAGCCCCTGGTTTTCGCCCAAACAGGACGGGTTTTACGCGAAACGGCCCGTGATTACACGAAAATCCCGTGCACACCCCTCTGCGCCACCTCGGTATAAAACGACAGGTGGTGCCTCCTCCGCCAACCCACAGAACCAAATCAATTCCAAATCCAACACACGTCAAAAGCGAAAAACCTCAGAAAACCCCAAGCAGATCGTATTACATTCTCGACCACCACTTGCCCCCCTGCTCTGCTGCAACTCCACTCGGCCGCCCCTCCCACCCACGCCCACCTTGATCCTCCGATCCGTTGGTGCTTGATCGATCCATGGACACCCACATCGGATCCGTGGACGGGCCGGCGGCGGCGGCGGCGGCGGCGTCGAACAACACGGTGAGCTGCCCGGCGTCGGCGCCGGGGTGCCCGATGGCGTCCACGCCGGCGCAGCCCGCGGAGACCCTGTCGGCGGGGGAGGCGTCGCTGGGGCGACACCTCGCGCGCCGCCTCGTGCAGGTCGGCGTCAACGACGTCTTCGCGGTCCCCGGGGACTTCAACCTCACGCTGCTCGACCACCTGATCGCCGAGCCCGGGCTGCGCCTCGTCGGCTGCTGCAACGAGCTCAACGCCGGGTACGCGGCCGACGGGTACGCGCGCGCGCGCGGCGTCGGGGCCTGCGCCGTCACCTTCACCGTCGGGGGCCTCAGCGTGCTCAACGCCATCGCGGGCGCCTACAGCGAGAACCTGCCCGTCATCTGCATCGCCGGCGGGCCCAACTCCAACGACTACGGGACCAACCGCATCCTCCACCACACCATCGGCCTCCCCGACTTCTCGCAGGAGCTGCGCTGCTTCCAGACCGTCACCTGCCACCAGGTGAGTCCGTGCGTGCCATCTTGTTTTTGCTGGGATTTTGCTTGTGATTTTGGGTGGGTTTGATTGAATGCCCGTTTCATCTGGTTGGTTATTGGCTTGTTTGCTTGTTCGTGGATTCAGGCGGTGGTGACCAATCTGGACGATGCGCACGAGCAGATCGACACGGCCATTGCCACGGCACTGAAAGAGAGCAAACCGGTGTACCTCAGCATCAGCTGCAACCTCCCCGGGTTGCCTCACCATACCTTTAGCCGTGACCCCGTGCCCTTCTTCCTTACCCCCAGGTACCACCTGTTCTGTACTCAGATTCATGGGCTTTTTTTTATGCAACATTGATAGTGGCTTTGCTTGGATCATGAAACTTATCCACCAAAAAACTCTTCAGATTTGCAATGTTGTATATATATTTATGGATTAAGTCTACTTTTAGCCCCTCAACTATTGGGTTTGTCTAATTTGGACCCTCAACTTCAAAATCGTATAATGTTAGTATCCCAACTGTCAAAACCGTTCACTTTTATCACCTGGGCACGAGCGAAACTGTTTTGTCTAACGTGGAGCAGGTTTGACCACGCCACGCTGCCGTTGACCGTCACATAGGACACCAACCTTCATCTCAGTGACATGTGGGGCCCACGTGTCACCCACTCATTCCCTCCCCCTCCATCCTCCAGCTCCGGTGCTGACAGGGACCGCGGCTCGGGCCGGTGGCGCCGCGGAGACCGTGGCGTCCGTGCTACGGAATGCGGACAGGGAGGCGGTCGTGCGGGTGCTGGCGGCAATCACGGCGTCCGGCTGCATCGAGGAGCAGAGCAAGAGGCGCGTGGCCGCGGCGCTCGCCGCCAACGCGCCGTCCGCGGCCGCGTCCGTGGCGTGCGTGCGGCGGAGCGGGACCTCGCTGGAGGCGCGGGTGGATGCGACGAGGCTGGTGGAGTCGCTGCTTCGCAATGCGGCGGCGGTCCCAGGCGCGCGGGCGGCGATGGAGGAGTCCGAGGAGCTGGTCGGTGAGCTGACCCGCCTCGTGTGACCTGCAGACGACGAGAAGAGGGGTGACGGCCTGGACAGGAAGGCTGTGGTGGCAGGGCTGACGTGCCTGGCGGCCATTACGGCGACGTGGCGCGCTCGCGCCGAGATGGTCCGGTTGGGCGCCATGCCCGCGGCCGTGCGCGTCCTAGAAGCCGATGTCGGGTCCTCGAGCCAGGCGCTCCGCGTGCTGGAGGCCGCGGTGGGGTGCGCCGAGGGCGCCGCGGTGGGGAGCACTGAGGGCCGCACCGGGGTGTGCGAGTCCACCAGGATGGGCGGCGCCGATGCGGCGGTGTCACCCACCCTGTCCGCGCTCAGCAGCACGGACGCCACGGCCTCTACGCTCCAATTCCCCTCTCAAATTTGCGATGTATCCAATCTCTCTCTCCAATTCCTCACGACCATAGTAGCCTTGGGTCCTGAGCTCACTGCTGGGCATGGTCCCGTCATGGATCATCCTCTATTAAGCTTACTCGAGTCATTCTCGTCGCCGGCGGCCGCCATTGGCACCGAGCTCAAGCTCTGCCGCAACCAACCCTATCTCGCCCACAGCTCCGCCTGCTTTCGAGACAACAAGAGCCTTCTACAGAACAATGGTGAGCCCTAGTCCGTCCTCCCCCCTCGCTTAGCCCAGTGTAGCCGCCGCCTCGTCTGAACGCGACAGTGTCGCCGCTGCTGCCATAGACCTGCACACGGCCGGCCCACGCCAGGCCGCCGGGGCTGCTACCGTCGGCGCCCTAGGGCCGCGTGACCCCCTCTACAGCCACCACGCATGCTCCGGCCACCTCGTCCGCCGCTGGTGCGGACCTGCCCCGCCCGCAGCGAGGCCGAGCTCGCCTGTCCGGATGCTGGTGGAGCTGGAGGAAGGAGAGGAAGGGGTTGAGTGGTTGACGCATGGGCCCCACATGTCACTGAGATGGAGGCAGACGTCCTACGTGGCTGTCAACGCCAACGTGGCGTGGTCAAACCCGCTCCACGTTAGACAGAACAGCCCCGCTCATGCGCAGGTGCTAAAAGTGAACGGTTTTGACAGTTGAGGTACCAACATTAGACGGTTTTGTAGTTGAGTGTCAAAATTAGACGAAACCAATAGTTGAGGAGCTAAAAGTGGACTTAATCCTATATTTATCCCACTGCTGTCACGTTCTAATTGAATAGGTAGCACCGAGACAATGCAATATAATTATACATGAAGTCAAGTGATGAAATCTAAATCTTCATACTAGATGAACAATCATCTTATGTTATAATGCAGTGTCATATGATTTCTTTTCAAGTCATTTAACGAGTGTCAAGTCTGTAAACTTGTAATATGGCACTGCAAATGTGGGAAACTTGATGCTATCAGAAATCATGTTATTAATAATTCTGTTGTAATACTGCAGGATGAGCAACAAGATGGGGCTAGAGGCTGCAGTGGAGGCAACTGTTGAATTCCTGAACAAGGCGGTGAAGCCAGTGCTTGTCGGTGGCCCCAAACTGCGTGTGGCAAAGGCAGGAAAGGCATTTGTCGATCTGGTAGATGCCAGTGGCTATGCCTATGCAGTGATGCCATCGGCCAAGGGCCTTGTGCCAGAGACGCACCCTCACTTCATCGGCACCTACTGGGGCGCCGTCAGCACTGCCTTCTGTGCTGAGATTGTTGAGTCCGCAGATGCCTACCTCTTTGCTGGCCCCATTTTCAATGACTACAGCTCTGTTGGCTACTCATTCCTCCTCAAGAAGGACAAGGCCATCATCGTCCAGCCTGAGCGTGTGATAGTTGGGAATGGGCCTGCATTCGGATGTGTGATGATGAAGGAGTACTTGTCTGAATTGGCTAAGAGGGTTAAGAAGAACACCACTGCCTATGAGAACTACAAGAGAATCTTTGTACCTGAGGGCCAGCCGCTGGAAAGCGAGCCGAATGAGCCACTGCGAGTCAATGTGCTCTTCAAGCACATCCAGAAGATGTTGACCGGTGATAGTGCCATGATCGCTGAGACCGGTGACTCCTGGTTCAACTGCCAGAAGCTTAAGCTGCCAGAAGGCTGTGGGTGAGCATTCTGATGGTACTCTGTTCTGTTTGTTTCTCTTAAACTGTTCCGTGCCTTGTTCTCATGAGAACTGTTTGCATGCTGCAGATATGAATTCCAAATGCAGTATGGTTCAATTGGATGGTCAGTGGGTGCATTGCTTGGCTATGCTCAGGGTGCGAACCAGAAGCGTGTGATTGCCTGCATTGGTGATGGGAGCTTCCAGGTGAGGTTTCATTGCATCATCAAACTATATTTTACTCTCTGCTGCAATTTGTTGGATGATGGCTCAATTCTGATGTGATCCTGGGGCAACCTTATGCAGGTTACAGCACAGGATGTGTCAACTATGTTGCGATGTGAGCAGAACAGCATAATCTTCCTGATCAACAATGGTGGGTACACTATTGAGGTGGAAATCCATGACGGACCATACAACGTCATCAAGAACTGGAACTACACTGGCTTTGTGGATGCCATCCACAATGGAGAGGGCAAGTGCTGGACCTCCAAGGTAAACTGTTTGCGCTTTGGCTAATGCTTACCAGAAACATTTGAACTAGCAGATGCTGTTCAGCTGAAGAACTGGTACTGATGGATTGCAATGATAACTTGTGCAGGTGAAGTGCGAGGAGGAGCTGACGGCAGCTATTGAGACGGCGCTAGGGGAGAAGAAGGACTGCCTGTGCTTCATCGAGGTGATCGCGCACAAGGACGACACCAGCAAAGAGCTGCTGGAATGGGGTTCCAGGGTTTCTGCTGCCAACTCCCGGCCACCGAATCCTCAGTAGAACAGTCTTGCAAGCTCCAAGCCTCAGAATGTGTCGGTAGTGATGGTAGAACGGTTGGGGCTCAATCTAATAACGTGAACGCATTGCCCTTTCTGTTACGTCGGTTCTTTTTTCTAGTGTTTCTGTGGTCCTGTATCTATTTGTGACGTGTTCCCTGTTTCTCCCATGTGAATTCCACAAGAATTATGAGAATTTTCAGGTTGGTGATCGCCAATTTGTGTTGTGACTATTTGTGCTGCTGTGCTACCAGTGTGATTTTAGTGATCAGGTGAACACCGCCAGTCAGGGCTAATCATGTGATCAGCATCCCAATTGTCGTTAGGAAGAGACGAATGGACGATATGTAGTGGTTGATGTATCTCTCTTTGTCCATCGTCGGCTGGTTGAAGAATATAGACGAATAGACGATATGTCGTGGTAGTCTGGTAGATGTATCTCTTTGATCTTTGTCCATTGTCGGCTGGCTGAAGAATATAGAAGTGGAGCTAGAGCCTAGTGGTAGATCCGGATACTGAGATGTGCACTGAATCTGGCGTATATGCAGCATGTATTCAGGTTTTTAATCAGGGCAGACTGCAGAGCACGGAGGTGCGCGCCCCGGTGCGGATTGCTTTATAGTATCATCCTATCGTCAGGGTGCAGTGGGTAAGCCTAGAGAAAATTTACGAAACTTTCTCGGCAAGTTGCTGTCCTTCGTGCATCTTTACATATAGGCAAAGCATGTTTTTGCAAATCCTGGAGCCATCTGAAAACGTTGTTCATTCTCGGAATCTCGGTTCCGACATGTTGTGTTGCTTTTGGCAGCCCATGCGGCGGCGACGGCGGAGTCGCGAGAGAGAGAGAGAGCGCGCACGCTAGAGAGGAAGGAAGCCGGGCCTGTCGGCCAGCCGCCGGACGACAAGATTCTATCGGTCATCCATAGGCCGATAAGACTGTGCATCCAAGGCCTACCGGCCTGGCCGACAGGGCCCTGGGAAGGGACTTAGTCGGCTCTTGGACGGCCGATAGGTGTCTGTCGGGTCTCCAGCTGCCGATAGGTACACTCCGACAAATTACTGCTCTCACCATTTTTTTTCCCCAAATGCTATATTTGCATCACTTTCAGTCTCGTTGCTCTTATCGTAAGCAATGTTAAAACTGTGTGATTTGAGGGTCCATTGACAGCTCAAATAGTATTTTAGTTACACAAAGAATGAGCAAAGCGAACATGGCACATATTCTTTGTATTTGATTGGTGGTCTGTGATGTGATGCGTTCGTTGGCGGGCCACAAAGCAAAGGTTACTTTGTATAGAAACATACACAGCTATACAAAAAACAACTGATGCTTTTGCATGAAAAAAAGGCATCGCCGTTGTCATTGATCAGGACGTGGGAGAAAAGCTCCTGCCACTAGGTGGCGCGATCCAACTGCTGCGCTTGCTGTTTTGCTCGATGGAGCATTGGCAAATTGTAATTTTGTATTATCCGGTTGAGTAATCCTTTCCTTTGGCACATCCACTCGAAACGAACGACCCCGACACAGCAGTTGATTGAGGACGCTACAGGATGAAATGCATTGTCAGTAAGTATGCAGGTGAGGTGGGTACAAATGGTTTTCTAGTTCTAGGTCACCTAATTAATCAAAGGTTTTGCGGCTCTGATTCTTCCTACACCTATAGTGTAGCAATTCGCTCTCTCAAGTACCATTGCCATTTTAGAGACCCTTTGGCAGCATAAATCATTTTTGTTTCTCGTTTCTCACAACCTATAATTAGTACCGGTATAAGGATGGAGTCATTCTTGTGATGCACCATCTCATCGAAAATAGAGTGATTCCTCATTCTTGTGATGTGCCATCTCGTCCATAATAGAGTGATTCCTCGAACTAAACATGGCTTTAGTTTTTACTCGTTCCATTACTTGCCTCTCCTCTACACCAACCATTGTCTTTTTTAAATTTAATCATTCTAAAGTTCAGCAAGTTAAAATATGTTGTATTTAAGTTGTTCTTCGCCTATAAAAGGTTCAATTTTTAAGCGTTTTTATATTTATATGATTTTAAGAAAATATATATTTTCTTTTGAATCAGAATCCAGTCCATTCTTATAAATTGATTCTTTCTAACCTGTCTGAAAGAATCTGGATCCAAAACGTTTTTTCAAGAACCTGGATCCCTAACACACCCTAGTTTATTTTACCAAATTTTAATATCGATCCAATGACCCAAGTCAAATGGAGCTTCCATCCCCAATCTTCAGTAAGCACGCTAACACAAGTAATGGTCTCTGAAAACATAGGTTCAGAGCAAGACAGGATTCCACTAGTTCGCATTAAAAAAAACAAAAAAAAAATGATCAAAACTATCCTTAGGCAAGCACAATATGCAAAATGTGTGCAAGGACAACTGATCATCGAGTTCTAACATCTAAGTGCAGTCCGTATGCATCGTAGAGGACAACAGTCTGTTTTTTCTGCAGAAGATGGGAAGGGAAGGAAGATTTACAGATCGCGATGTGGGATTTCAGCTTTGGGATGTTTGGATGAGCGCTCCTGCACCTGTGGCACCGGAGTTCCATTGCGAGTACCTTTTCATCACTGCTGGTGGTTGTTGATCCATTTTGTTCAATCTCCTCAATGACATAAACAGAATCACGAAAAAATGATGTGGTGAAGGAGTTCCAATGTTTCTTATTTTTCAAGCTTGCAGAGTTGAAATCCTGGCTAATGATGTGAAGATGCAATTGTCGCATTGATGGAACCTGTAATAAAAAACAAAACATGTGAAATTGCTCATGCCACAACTAGTGTGTTTCGACTTTCGAGAGGAATGATGGATAATGAACCCAAGCATAACCAATTTCTTTGGTTTGAGAAGTCAAATCAGTTAGTCCATCACATTATCCCTCATAAGAAAATGTTTATATAAATTGGGTAATGAGGTTATCACACTACAGTTCTAGATGATCACATGCCATGATGCAGTTCCTCAAATTAAAACACACTCTACTTCTCAAGCAAAGTTCAAGGAAATGAACTTGAGTTAGGATCATACCGAATGGTATCCAAGTCTGAATTCCAAAGCCGCATCTTCCTCTAGGAACTTCTGTGCCCACTTCACCCCAGCTGAATGCATCCTCCTCAACAAAGGCAAGTGTTCTTTCTTGACATCTGCTAGAGAGTCAAGACCATCCATTCTAGATATCACCAAAATATGCCTTTTGGCCTGCATATATAAAGATTTTTGCTAAGATGACAACTGGATCACTGAATATCATTAAGAAGCACACAATAGAAAAGGTATGTAATTAGAAAATTCCATAATAAACCTTTGGATAGAGATCTTTCAGAACAATATATTCATCTGATGTCTCTAGGATAGAATCTGAGTTCTTGTACTTTTCTGGGTTCATGGCAAGTTCATAAAGAGACTGGGCCCAGGATCCCCAAGTCTTACTGGTAACCACATCATTCCTTTTGTTGTCTACTTGTCTAGTTTGGCTAGGAACAGCAGATGAAGTCATGGCATCATCATGGCAATTTGGAGCATTAACCTTTGTGCACTCATGCTGTTGCTTTGCAGTCATAATGGGTTGAAACAACTTATGTTTTTTCATCCTTTCAGATCCATGGCTGTCCTCTCGCTTCATTTTTGTGTCATTGGGAGATGTCCCACCAGATGCTGACTTTTCTGCTCCAGATTCACTGTTCTGCTTTCCCATGTAGCTCTGCACAATGGATGCAAAATTCTCAAAAAGTGAATTGTACGCTTCACGAAGAATCTTAGACCCTCTGGTATAGTCATTCTTAAGATAGTCTGGTCGCATTGGATTCATATTTGGCCCAAGCACATGTATGACATGGGTCACACCTTCCCGTTCACGCAGAGGAGAAGTTGATGGAAGTGGAACAACAACAGAGGTTCCTGGCCTCAGTGCATCAGCACATTTTTTAGTTGCACGTTGTAAAGATTCTCCAGCAGCATTATATATTGCCGCATTAACCCCTCCACCTCCAGGTTTTAGCCTCCTGCGTTAAAAGCGCACAAATATCATCTCCCTGTCTGTAGTAAGGCGAACGTGGACTTGCCGCTGCCCGGTGGGCCCACCAATACCACCACCACCTGCTTGCGGCCGCGCTCCTCCTCCTTCGTCTCCGCGCCTGCACCGACGATTCGAGACAGCACGCGCTAGGGTTTAAGCAGCGACGGCGGGAGCTGTTCGATTAGAAGAACGAAACGGGGAAAATCTTTGTCTCGGGGCGCACCTATGGTTCCCGACGGAGGTGGTGGAGCGGAGCTGGAGCCGCCCGCGTCGGGATCCATCTAGCAAAATGGACGAACCGACGAAACCTGGTGTGCCAGGCTACGACGATGAGCAAAGGTGGGCGCGGAAGAGGAAAGAAACGAAGGGCCGAAGGCCGGAGCGGTGGGGGCAGCGACGCGGGAACCGGCGGCTTCTGGCCGTCCGCGGCTCAGCACGATCCAATCTGACACGTCGGTTACGCAGCACGGTCTAATCAGACCAGGGGGCAATGGGAAAAAGGAGCAATTAACCAAGGTAATCAGACCAGACGAGGGGAAAAAAGCAAAAAAAGGAACCTATGGCTGCTGGGATTCGAGCCCAGCGCACAGTTCGCTTGGCTTATAATAAAAAAATAAAAAGAGCAATTAGCCAACAGGTCTCTACGGCCACTTTGTTATGCACCTCTATGACCATGGCTATTAGTCCTCTATGAAACTTGACACCAGCATCGTGCAAAACATCCATCATTTCTATGTTTTCTCAAAAATCTGCGGCAAACCAGTGTCGGCGATCAAATATAGTACAGTACAAAGCCACGCAGTTCTCTCATCTAGCACTTCAAGAATCACTGCATAATCGCCCTTTATTTATCCCCCAATCTAGAGACAGTCTACAACAACAGGCTAGTACTCGTTGAAGTGTATGGCGCCGAGCTTCCACACGAGGAAGGCGGTGCCGAACATGATGGTGGTGATGAGCGTGAAGGAGACGAGGACGAGGAACACGTCCACCCCGAACGGCAGCTCGAACGTCCAGCCCTCCTTGGGCATCCCGCGCTTGCTGTCGTCGAACAGGTTGCCCGGCGCCTCGGGCAGCCGCGACCCGCGCCGCCCGCCCCCGGCCCCGCCCTTCTTCGCGTCCGCCTCGCGCAGCGCGTCCAGCACGCCGCTCCCGAACTCCGGCTTGGCCGATTTTGACGACGACGACGACGACCCCTTCGCCGACGGCTCCGCGTACTTGCCCAGTACGCGCGCCGCCCGCAGCCGCTCCCGCGCCGTCAGCGGCGCCCGCTTCGGCGGCTCGCTCGGCGCGCTGCCGTTGGCGTTGGCGACCGGCTGCTGCGGCTGGCCGTTATTGCCGGGCGTCACCGGGGATCTCTCGGCGCTGGGAACGGGAGAGGCTGGAGGAGGAGGGGTGTTGGCTGTTGTTTCTTGCGCCGCGGCCGGCGCCGCCTGGTCGTTGTCCGTGGCCCGCCGGCAGCTGGTTCTTGCATGCTTGTTATTCCTCGCCGCGTAGCTCAGCCGGAGGAGCTCGGGCGGGAGCTTCTGGAAGGCTGCAGCTGCTGCCGCCGCCTTCTCGAAGGGATGCCTCGAGAAAAAGGTCAGCTGGGTGTAGTACGACGAAGATCTTGGCACTCCTGCTAGCTGTGCACATGAGCAGTAGCATCAGGAAGCAAGAAGAAACAAGATGAAGCGCGATGAGTTAGAAAAGAAGCTTACTTTTGCAGTAGCCCTGGGCAGGGAGGAGCAGGAGCTGAGGCAGGTGGCAGCCATCTTCCTCTCATCCGCTCGGCCACAGCATTTTGTGCTCGAGGCCAGTGAAGATAGCATTCGTCTGAGTGAGGATGAGGCTGTCCACGAATCAGAGCTGTAGGGGAGGTGGCGACTGGATAGATCCGAGAACACGTTGGGCTGGGCCGAATTCGTTACACGGCAGTCATAAAACCGCAAGCCCAGAGTTGTCTTTTGGGAAATCGTCAGCAATTTTGGCATGAAAAAGATTCGTGAGCAATTTCTTGGATCTCGACGGCATTTTAGTTTGAAGTGAACTCTCGATTCCAACAACATCAAAAGTTCAAACACTAATAAGCAAAAATACTGTTCTGACTGATTATTGTGAGAGAAAAATACTATTCTATCTAGAAACACTGGTTACGTGAACAGTGATTTCGTGAGTGGGCTGGCCAGCCAGCCGAACAGCCCCATCCCTGTGTTCCTCCACCACGTTACCTGCTAAATTTCAGTCAGCGTCATATTCTCAGAAGCAACTAAATCGCAAGGCAGACCAACAACCCAAAAAAAAAATGCTAGTATAATTGGCCAAGACACCAGCTTGTGAAAACAAAAAACGTATATAAATGGTCCGCTATATATTCAACATCTCGACAGGACTTTAGCATTCGCCCAATTACATTGGCAGAGTAGAGGGAGAGATAAGTCAGTAATTCTGGTTTACCGAACGTCAAAACTGTCCAGCAAACGCTATACACAATTTAACTCTGTTCGTTCATCTACGTACAAACCTTAATAAAGATAGTAAATGTTAGATCTAAAACTCTTGCTACTTGCAATAGTCGTCTACCTAAGGACAGGCTTTTGTTTGGTCGGTGACAGTTGAACGTCTCCGTTCAAAACAGATCCCACGAACCTTTCAGCTTCTTCCAGTGTCACCTCGTCGTCGTACACAGCGAACCTCCCCCGGCGAGGCTTGTAGGCAATGAGCAGCTTGTCAGATGACTTATATCCAGACTTATCAAACGATGACAGGAATGCAGATTGTTTGTCCTTATCCAACAAAGCATAGGAGACTGCATTTCTGGAATTATAGTTCTGCCCCCTTATCAGAGTCTTCTTAGATATCTGGATGCAATCACCAGAAAAGAGAAGGTATGTGTTAACAAATTGCTATACCCAAGATTAAGGAAAGAAGAACCACAAGATAATAGATGTTACTATGCATTCAGAAGAACAAGAAAACATGTGCTTCTGCTATCTAGTATGATTTGGCTTTTCAAAACAGAAGATATACCTCAGACAGGACTGTTTCAAGCTGTCCCTTGGCTTTGTTTGACCCGAAAACACCAATGATGCATACTGAAGTCTTCTCTCCACAGATTTCCTCAAAGTTGGAAGCTGTGAGGAGAGGGACCTTTTTTTCTTCCCATTGACTGGAAGGTTTCTTGTTAGCTTGATTCGATGACAGCTTCTTATTCTTCTTCTCAAAACTTTCTAGCAGTGTCTTCAATTCCTTGATACCAGATCTGAGATCTTTCACCGAAATGCCATCCTTCAGAAGGAGCTCCTCACCATTCACGGTTCGGCCAATTACAGCTGGAAGATTCTTCACGCCAAGACTTTTGAGCAGCGGATGAGAAACATCATGAACCTAAACATGCACAGCAGTTTCTCATATTACACATACTTCCGTTGATGTTGTTTATCGAGTCCTAATAACATATAAGAGTTACCCCCTGATTGTTCACCAGCATGGTAAAGGTAAGCTATTTTAATGGAAGCTCAATCATCTACTCCCTCGTTCCAAATTGTAAGTCATTTTAACTTTGTCCAAAAGCAAATTTGTCTAACTTTGGCCAAATTTATATATAAAAAAAATCACTAGCATCTACAATATCAAACAGATACTCTATCAAAATATATGTCACGGTGTATCTAATGAATCTAGTTTGATGCTGTATATGTTTGTGTATTCTTTTTTTTATAAACTTGGTCACAGGCTCCACAGCTAGAAAAGGTTGACTTAGGATAAAACTAAAACGACTTACAGTTAGGAATGGAGCGAGTAAATTATTTTTCATGCCATTTTTATATTATAACCATTCATTACCACTTACTGCCCAGAAGTAACTACACCCCACACCAATTGACATCTCAGAGTATGTTATGTGCCGAGTTTTCCCATGTCAAGCAGAGTAATTATTAAGGCCTAGAATTTCCTAGGTTTGGTAACCAAATGGAGCAGTAACAGCAACAGATCAAATTACTCACCTCAGCATCATAAAAAATTAATCGATTGCGGAACATCCCACTGATAGCACGCCACATTGCTGGTGTGTCCTTCTTACTCGATAGTAAGAGCACTTGAGGAAGGTTTGGTAGAACATTTAAAGGGAAGCTGAATTGGCCAATATCTACCCGTTTGGAGAATCTTGGCAGGTGTTCTTGACAAAATGTCTTCAAGCTCTTAGCATCATGTTCTCCAGAATACTCATGCAAAGACCCTTTCTCTGTAGTAGCATATGAATAGATGAAGAGGCGGGCCGATTTCCCTATTGAAACACCAGACCTTTTGCAAAGAGATTTTTCATTGTCACAGTTGACCTTACCAGCCTGCACAAATAGAAGGCTATTAGGTATGTATGTCCGTGCCATATGTTGAGGAGCGCTATATATTTCATTATCATTATTGTACATCAGCTTACCCTCAGAGCACCATCCAGTGAATGGACCACGTCCTGCATGACACTCTCTAGCACAAATTGACCTTTTGACTGGGGTGTATAAAATAACAGAAGCCAAGTAGTTCCTTGGTCAGCTACTTCTTTATTGAAAACTTGTGTGGTGATATCCTGAATCTTGGCAGTGCCAGAATGCTGACCAGATGTTCCAGTGTTGGCTCTAGCTGAGCCAGTTGATCCACCAAAATGGCTATCACCCATTGATCCACCACCAAAAAGGTTCGAGAAAACATCACCAAAATCTAAACCACCACCAAACGGGTTTCCACCACTGGCCCCAGGTTTACTACCAAAAGAAAAGGAAAACGTTTTTGTATTTCCTTGACCACCCATTGTCTGCCATCCATTTCCAGATGTGAAATGACTGGACTTGGGGCCACCACCAAAGTATGTATAGCCCTCATGATTTCCAAAATTTCCACCACCAAATCCAGGGTTACCCTTCTCATCCCCGTAGAGGTCATAGTTTTTCCGCTTCTCTTCATCAGATAGAATCTCATATGCTGCAAAGGCCCAACAATGCTCCTTCAGTATTACAGAATAAGGCACTGCTACTCTAATCTAGCATTAGCAGATAATCTGAAACGAAACTAGTTTACGGAATATAGTTACATGGCCCTTATTTGCCTGATAATTCAGCATAAAGAGAAGCAGAATGGGTCAAACATAGAGCATGTATTGTTACAAGACGTTTTGCACCTAAACAAACCCAGGAGACAACATGGAATGTTAAAAATAGGTAATAGCAAGGAATTTAGAGATGGCTCCACCCCTAAAAGAAGAGACAGGACCATCCCATCCCCGATAGTTCCCAAACCAAACACACCATTTAAAAGCAACCAGATCAATGCAAACACACCCTTAAAAGCAACCACATCAATGCAAATGACTCCGGACATGTGCAGATATGATGATACCATGGCTAGTGCAAGGGACAATGCCAAATAAAAAATTATCTCATATACATCATCAGCATATACAAATTCTTAATCAAAATAGATATTGAAGAAAAATAGAGGTTCTTACCATTGTTTATTTCTTCAAATTTTTCCTGCGCACCCTTGCCTTTATTCTTGTCAGGGTGGTATTTTAGAGAAAGCCTATTATAGACATCATAAATAAGATGAGTTGATCTAAGCTATAGGCTGAAACTAAATTACATCGTGTACTTGAATTGAAAGTTGAGACATTAAAAATCTGAACTTACTTGTGAAAGGCTTTCTGAATATCCCGTTGGCTAGCATTCTTGTCAACTCCTAGAACCTGAAACCAAAAAAGATCATGAGAACATGCATCAGTCATCTAGAACAGATGTAAAAACTCATAAATGTTAGGACTATGCCTGGATTTCCAATAGGAAAAAGCTCAGATGGAAGTAATATTTCAGGTTTGAAGCTGGACCACTATCTGACATTTACTGCTTGACAATTATGAAATTTACAAATAGTGAACATAGCTACCAAAGCAAATTAAGCTCTGAGTGCTGCCACATATACAAGTATACAACCATTTTAGTACATTGTACAGGGACCCCCATTGTACATGTAAAACCTGAGTATAGTAAAATCCCGTTTAGAGAACAGATCAACAAATAGTATCTTACCACTTGGAACCGCACGCGTTAGCATTGTCATTTGTTCATTAATCTCTCATATAACGCATACGCCGTGTAAATCAGTTGAAGAAATGCCTAGAATTTACAACGAAACAAGGAATACGCAGTAATAATACGCAAAAATTACTCGCCTTGTACGGATCTATAGTTTTGGCCGCTGCGACGTGCAAGACGACCGAACTGAGGACGAGCGAGGCGACGAGGAGAGACCGGAGGGGAATCCCCATCACGGCGTGGCGAGCGGCTCCGATTCGATTCTGCTTCGCCGGGTGAAGCTTCCAGCGCTCGATTTGCTCGGGTTTTCTTCTGCTGGGGAATATCTGGGTTGAATTCAGGCTGGATTTGGAGGGAAGCGGAGGAAGGACAAGGATTTGGGCATGGAGGAAGGCCGCCGTTTTTAGAGAGGAAGGCGTCGGTTCGGTCGAGATGTTTCGCGACACAAGGTACACGTGGCGCTTGAGAGGTAGCTCCAGCGAACTCGACCAATAGAATTCGACCTTTCGAGCCCGGTTGCGTGGCCAGCGCACTTATAAGTTGGGACCACGTGCCACGCAGCTCTAATAGGAGTGTGTCGACTCGTGACAGTCACACCGAGGTACGTATGTTGACGTCTTTGCGAACTAGCGTAAATAGAGGGCACGTTTTCAACTTTCGACTCAATTACTATAATTGTCTCAAAAAAAAACATGTCGTTTAAGATTGATCAATCAATGGCATGTTTGCTTGTTCGTATATGATTATGGATTATAAGCTGGAATCGTATTTTTCTCTTACACTAAATCAGTCAATAGTAAATAATCTACGATCATTTACGACGAAACGAACAGACTGCAAGTCTTAAAAAACACAATAAGGTAAAAATACATAGAAATCTAGGAAAAAGATCATATTACTCCCCTCAAGTTTGACATATGTCTAAATAATCCCCTAAACTAACATTTGGTTTAATTTACTTCCTTCAACTATTTAAGTTGGTCCAACCAACACCTTAAAGAGGTTTTTTTGTTTCTCTATGTACAAATTATATTTTAGTTTTAAAATTTGTGAGATGATAGAGGACATTGTATTTTGTGTTAGAAAAATACACTATGAAATTTTCATTATTATGAGCCAATAGTATGCTTTGGAGACTATACAAAATTAAACGTGTCGATGCAGAAAATGACCAACACGTGAATACTTGTAGCTTTGACGCATGTTGTGATCGGATGTGGCCTAGCATTCAATGACACAGGGTTTATACTGGTTCAGGTAACGTGCCCTACATCCGGTTTGAGTCGGTCGGTGACTTTATTCCTGAGCCCAGGTCCTTGAAGTTTGTTGTGGGGTTACAAACGGAAGGGAGAAAGATGAGGGGTACAAGAGGTCCGGTCGGACTCTAGTCTGAAGGGTCGAGAGTGACGGGAGCTCCGCTATATGCTAAGTGTTCGAATGTTTGTTGTTCGTTGGGATCCTTGGTCGTTCGGATCATGTGTGTTGTTTGAGTTGTTGGGGACTGATACATCCTTTTGGAAGAGAGCGCACCCCCTTTTATAGATGAAGGCGATGGCCTTATAAAAGAGAGAGAGTGTACGTATGCTAAGTCTCTTTGCCCACGTCGTCAGGTATAAGATGATGGTAGACGCCCATAACACTGTTAATGTCAGATGCATGTGGGAGGTTACGTCTTCTTCTTCTGGTATGGCAGACGTCGCTGCCTACCACACTGTTGATGCCTAGAGGCATGCAAGGGGTTTTACCGTACTCGTCTGGTATGGCAGTTGCAGGCGCCCACAACACTGTAGGGCAAATGTCGGTGCCAACAACACTGCTTGGGTTCTGACATGCTTGGAAGGTTGCAGGGCACTCTTCTGACATGTCATGTCGATACTGTCCTGTCGGTGTACAGGGTACGGTCCTCGGTGTTGTGGTTGACTTGAGTGCCCTGCCTTACTTGCTCCGCCCGTTTTTTGGTCCTCACCGAGCGGGCGTCCCCGGTCGGTTGGTCCCAGTTGGCTCCGACTGCGCCAGTCGGTGAAGAGCTGTAAGCAGAAGTTCGGTGCGTCCCCGGTCGGAGACGCGGGTCGGAGTTCGGAAGCGGTGTTTGGCCAGGCCTTCCGGTTGGAGAGGCGGGCCGGAGTCGGAAGCGAGCGCTGTTCCTCCTTGGCCAGGCCTTCCGGTCGGAGTGGCGAGCTGGAGTCGGAAGCGAGCGCTGTTCCTCCTTAGCGAGGCCTTCCGGTCGGAGATTGGATCACCCTTCTGGCCTGTCGTTTAGGAGTTTGGGCCGGTCCAGGAGCTTACGCGTCGTTCGCAACGTCGTCTGCTGGGCCAAGCTTTTGCTGGAAAGCCGGTCCACGAGGGACCCCGGATTTATGAACCCGACAAAACGTGACACAAGTATTTACAGCTAAACTAGATATATAATTAAGGGTCATTTGATAGGGGTCCAAGTTCTCATAAAATAAACACTATAGATTCAAATTTTGTCAAGAAACGTTTCAAGTGATGAATCAGAATCACTTTTATAGAACCATTTGGCTTTCTAATTTCAAAAAACATGTTTTACATACAAAAAAATCATATAAATAAAAATATGTTTCGAAAAAATCAAAACTTTTTGTGGACAAAAATAACTTAAATGAAACCGATTTTGAATTGTTGCACTTATAAAGAATAACTAGAAACAAAAATACAGTCACTGGGGTACAGGAGAAACTAGAAATAGAATCCAGTGAAACCGGTATGGAACCATTTTGCATGTCGCAGTCAAAAAGCACAGAACCATAAACGTTTCATGGTAATAGCATTTGTCGGCGTTTCTTTGAACTCCGATGTGAGTCGGAACCGATTCTCACTTTCCGAACGGAGTTTAAGTTTGGACGGTTCCTCAAGACTGGGCTAGGCCAGACTAATCTCATGAGTCTATGTTTACCATTTGTGGAAGCGATAAGTGCGGAAGTAAGGGACGAAGAAGAAAGGTGCGAGTGATGAAAGAAAAAATAGAATTGAGGAAGAGAGAAACGGAAGAATAAATTACCGTACTACTTTGTATTACTATTTACTTTCTCTATCCTAAAAAGAATGTAAATCTTACTTTATGAGGATTTAAAGAATCTTAAGTCTAACTAAATTTATAGAAGATATATTATCTACATTTAGATCTCCAGTTAGGTTATTATAAAAATATATTTTATGGTTAATCTAATGATACTTATTATACATAATAAATATCAATATTTTTATATATATATTTAGTTAAAATTAAGAATATTTGATTTTCCGGGAAGCGAGATTTACATTTTTTTTTTACGGAGGGAGCAGATACATAGACAAAGTAAAAATGAACGAGTCTAATTGTGTGCTGCTACAAATTTGCCGGCAGAGCTTTAGGCAGTCATAGATGATTATCCGATTGGTAGATGATCCAGAGTCCATGAATACCAAAGGCACTTGTAACAAAAAAAAACTATCTATTGCTTGACAAACCTAGCTATTAGAAAAAAGGTTAAATAATTTTTAATACTGTAGTACAAACATAGGTAAATCTGTACCGGTATAAGTACCTCTAAGATCTTGAGATTGTTTGTAAAAAAACGAGATTGACAAAGTAACAACACACGTCTCGCTGTCACACACACATCGTTTATCATTAAAAAAAATACTAGTACGGTAGTACCATTAAACTCTAGAAGATAAATCTAGAAAAATACGATACCGTATTAAGTCGAGAACTTGAGTAAGCAGGTTCGAATTCATCGATAAACCTAATATGTATCTCTTATAACCCTAAACCCCACTAGATTTTTACCTCCACATGCAAAGCGATTCACATCAGCACCTCACTAGCGCATGCAATTATGACACTTTATCTATTCATGTAAGCTATCCACGTCAACATGCCACGTTATCTAGCAAAATGTATTTATTTGTCCACGTTAGTATATCCACCATCAACTAAAATTCATTCGTGATCCCGTAGCAACGTGAGAGCGCTGTCCACTAAATATGCTTCTAGTAAGCTACTAAACTCATAAGTCAAATTGACTTAGAAAGAGAGAGGCTCTCAAATAAATGTCGTGAGTTTGCTATAGGAGGCAACAACATGGCACGTTGTTGTGGTGGAAAATAATGATTGATGATCACTGAATGAAAAAATAATGATGGACGTGGAAAATTTAACAGGGGAGGGGGGCAATGGCAAGTACTTCACTGCAAATATACACCTGGATAAAAAAATTACTACACTGCAAAATTTCTTTAATAAGGGGATGCAATGCCTGTTCGTTTCGCTGAAATTTGAAATTTTGGCTTATACTGATGCTAATGCTGATTTATTATTTATGAGAGAAAAACACTGATCATTCACTTAAAAGCATTGTTGAAGTAGTGCTAAAGATCAGGGCTAATATATGTTGTTGGGCTCAACCAAGGCTGAATATCCATATTCATCGGTCCTGCCGGATTGTCCAGGACCAGAAAGAGCTAGGCTGGGCTTCAAGTAAACTAGTGGATGGCACGCGCCCTTGCGCGCGAGAGTAAACGATCCTAGGTTGCTTCATGGTGGTGACAATAACATGTAATATTAGAACCGAGTTGCCCACAGTGGAAGCAACTTGGAACACTATGTGTTGCCCACGTATTCTGTCAGCTCATCTTCGAGACCTACAAACAAATGACACATAACAAATGAATCACAGTTTGTATCAGTGGAAAACTGTTACAGTTTCAACGACTGTTTTATTCTAATCGATACTCCATACGGATAGCACGCATTTCCCAATATAAGCCCACTAACCCATGACATTTGTCTAAAGTCTTCCAATTCACCTTTTGGCACTGTCAAACGTGCAAGTCTAGGAACGGTAATGATATCAAGAGTGGAAAAATAAACCTAGAACATGGTATGTCATGATTTTATTTGGTCTCTAAATGAACATCAATGACATGGAGAACAATGTAGTGATTGATCCACACCTGGTGACAACTAAAATCGATTTTTAGAGTTGGGCTATGTTACATCCGTATTTCATGTAACATATGAGGGGCATGAAGGCACTGTACCTTGGGAACTACCACACTATGCTTAACGTCAGTGTAAATTTGGTGGGGCATGCGTGTGGGCTGTTGTTTCCCATTCGTCTGTACCAAGATCAAAACATGAGCAAAGAGGTAACATTAGCTGAACGCATATGAATAAGATAAATATCAACGACATGAATATAGCAGGATCTATCTGATCCGAAAAAGC